AGTTCAGTGCTTATCTAGAATGCTCAAGGCACCAGGATCAGTTTCCAGCACCACAAGAAATAAAATGAACAAATCCTCACTCCTGGGCAATGATAAAGAAAATGTCATGGAATTAAATAAAATGCAGACTACAAAAGGAGAAAATAGGGTTAGGGGAGGAGATTAAGTGAGTAAGAGTGCTTGATGTGAAAGCCTGAGGACTGGAGTTTGACTCCATAGCACCCACATATTAATAAAAGTCATAAATGGAGCTGGAGAGATGGCTCAGAGGTTAAGAGCACTGGCTGCTCTTCCAGAGATCCTGAGTTCAATTCCCAGCAACCACATGATGGCTCACAACCATTGATAATGAAATTTGGTGCCCTCTTCTGACCTGCAGGGATACATGCAGATATAACATTGTATACATAATTAAAAAAAAGTCATAAATGGTCATGCATGACTATAGCCCCAGTGTTGAGAGTGAAGATGGGTGAATCCCAGGAGCTCAATGGCCAGCGAGGCCTGGTCAAAACTTCAAGCTTCGGGTCCAGTAAAGAACCTTGTCTCAAGAGAAAAGGGCAGAGAGCAAAGGAGACACCAAGAGGTAAACTACTCCTCTGACCTCCACATATGTGCTATACACCCACACAAATGCGCGCACACACACACACACACACACATACACACACACACACACACACACACACACACACGGACGGACGGACGGACGGACGGACAGACTAACACACTGTGATCACCAACTTTGCAGCACCTATGTTTTCATGTCATGTGAGGCAGTATGACTTGAAATGTCTATTTTTTTTAGAATTCCTTTTAATGTTGCATTTTTCCTATTACATATATATTTTTTAATTCCTTATAGAATAAATCTGGACTTCCAGGTTTTTCTATACTCCTCACATTTAAAAAAAAAGTGACAGACTCTGGCTCTTCTTACTTTGAATTGATAGTAAACTCTCTCTCTCTCTCTCTCTCTCTCTCTCTCTCTCTCTCTCTCTCTCTCTCTCTCAGGTCTCATGATGTAGCCTTAACTGGCGCTGATCCACATGTGTTTACCTCCCCAGTACTGGGACTAAAAACCTGTGATACATGCCAGACCAGTAGTTTCTCTTTAAAACATGTTCTTTCCAAATGTCCAATTAAAGATGAAGAACCAGCCGGGCGTTGGTGGCACACGTTTTTAATCCCAGCACCCAGCACTCGGGAGGCAGAGGCAGGTGGATCTCTGTGAGTTCGAGGCCAGCCTGGTCTACAAAGCGAGTTCCAGGACAGCCTCCAAGACAATACAGAGAAATCCTGTCTCGAAAAACCAAAAAACAACAACAAAAAAAGATGAAGAACCAGACAAGGCTTGGGGCTGGAGATGGCTCAGTGTTTAAGAGCCTTGCTGCTCTTCCAGAGGACCCAGGTTCAGTTCCCAGGGCCTTCACTGGGTGGCTCACAACCATCTGGAACTCCAGTTCCAGGGGATCCAATGTCTTCATTTGTTCTTAGCAGGCACCTGTAGGCATCATACACTCACACAGACAAACATACATATATACACATAAATAAAAACAGATCTAACGAAAGAAAGAAGACAATGGTGACAACAGGTCTGAAGTATTCATACTTCCAAGAACAGCACTGTCTGAAATACAAAGCAAAACTAGGAACCCAGAGAGGTGACAAAGGGAAAGAGGCAACAAGGGCATGTTTTCAGATGACAGTGTGTTCCCAAGACCATGTGGAGAGAGGTCTGAGATTTACCTGCCTCACCAGGTGGCTGCTGCCTGGTGTCATCTCCCTTTGCTTCATTTCACAAGTATTTTTCTGAGCCCTGACCCTCTGAAGTATCTCACATGCCTGTGATGTCACAAGGTTGTGTCGTACTTCATAGAATGGTCACAAAGGACAATTCCCATGGATCACGTTCAAGGTCATGTCCCATCTGCCCCATGGGGAGGAGAGGTGACCCAATGTCTTATCAGGCTGCTATTCAACTTTGTAGATACAGAACTGAGCCTTTTCTGTTTTGTCAGAGCAGTAACCCTGAAGCAGCTGACTTTGTTGAACAAGTACAAAAAAGAGTCATGAGTCAACTGGTTACCAAGAGAGGACGAAAGGGAGCTGCCTAGAAAACCACAGCTCGACAAATCCCCTAAATACTCCATCTACTCTAGCGATCAAACTATCACCAAGACCATCAGTTGAGTACCAAAGGCAACAGTGAGTCCTAGACTCACTCAGGGAGGTGTTCTGTTCAGCCAGGTGTCCCAAGGAGAGGATGTAACTCCCCTATACCGAAGAGCTTGGCAGACTATTCAGAACAGAATTTGATCTCCGCCCTTTGCCCTGATGTGAGCCTTGATCCAGGGCTCATTAAAGTTCACTTGATGTTACGGTCCATTCCCAAGGCTCTTCCCAGCTTACCTCCATTGACGGTCATCTTCCCAGTGGCGATTTCTAAGTAATTTGGCTCATCACTTGCACAATTATCAGACTGTGGAAGGTCTCTTAGAACTTAATCCCTCCTCTCAAACCCCTCTTTCTGCTGGTCACAGGCAGTATATGATTAATGCCTGTGAGACGAAGGAGAGAAGATCATAATGTGAGGTCAGAAAGGGAGTGGTCACTGAGGTAAAAACAGGGGATCTAGAGAGAGAAGGGTAAGTCTAAGGCCCAGGCTCTGTATCTTACCAACTACATAACCTCTGACAAGTCACACAGTTCTTTTGTGTCTTTTGTCTCATGCATAAAATGAAGCTAGCAGTCCTGAATCCTCAGGCCAATACACTTTGTAAATTTCAAAGCACTCTGAAAATGTTGGGCCTAATACCATGGTGGCCTGGAGTGTACTGGACATAACAGATTATTAAGGTAGTTCTCAAGAGTTCAGGAAGAGTTGGTCATGATGGTACATGCTTAAAATCTCAGAATATGGGAAGTTGAGACTGGAAGATCAAAAGTTTAAGTTTAGGGAAATCATGACTGGTACTAGAAAACCAGCTACCTAGGGCTAGTGAAGACATGAGTAGTTGTAAATATTTGTCCTTAGATTCACAGATAATAGTCCTCAGCCCGCATCAAGGAAACTTCTCTTTGCAATAGGCAAAGAGAGACCGATACAGAAAACCACAGCCAAGCAAAATGTAGAGTTGTGGAGTTCAGTCCCACTGGACACATCTATAAAACAACTCCTACACCTACAGCTCTGGGACCATTGCAGTAGAAGGATAGAAGTCGGGCGTTAGTGGTGCACGCCTTTAATCCCAACACTCGGAAGGCAGAGGCAGGCCCAGGACAGGCTCCAAAGCAATACAGAGAAACCCTGTCTCGGGGGGGGGAAAAAAAAAAAAAAAAAAAACCGGCCGGGCGTTGGTGGCCCACGCCTTTAATCCCAGCACTCGGGAGGCAGAGGCAGGTGGATCTCTGTGAGTTCGAGGCCAGCCTGGACTACCAAGCGAGTTCCAGGACAGCCCAAAGCCACAGAGAAACCCTGTCTCGAAAAACCAAAAAAACAAAACAAAACAAAAAAACCCAAAAAAAAAAAACAAAAGAAAAAAAAGGAAGGAAAATAGAGCTTTTAAGAATCAGAGAGCAGCCTGGCGTTGGTGGCGCACACCTTTAATCCCAGCACTCGATAGGCAAAGGCAGACGGATCTCTGTGAGTTCGAGACCAGCCTGGTCTACCAATCGAGTTCCAGGACAGGATCCAAAACAATACAGAGAAACCCTGTCTCGAAAAACAAAAACAAACAAAAAAAGAACCAGAGAGCAGAGGCTTTGCTGTGAGATTGTCTCCCAGTGGCTTTGCTGTGAGATTGTCTCCCAGGAATGTCAGATGTTACACCCATAAAGTCTCACCATTATGACTGCCTAAACAGGAGCTGAACAAGGACAATTACAGTCCCAGTTAAAAAATTATAGATTATCATGCTTATCATATCAATTAAGACTGGAATTCCAACAGGCTGGAGGCCCAAGCAGGCTAGCCTTGTCTACAGAGTATGATTAATAAAGATTAATCTTGAGGTAATGGTGTAGCTAAAGCCAAACTGCCAGATTGTAATGGATTAAACACTGAGCAAGAGCCGGGTGGTGACTGCACACACCTTTAAACCTAGCACTTGGGAGGCAGAGGCAGTCAGGTCTTTCTGAGCTGGAGGCCTGCTTGGTTTACAAAGTGAGTTCCAGGGCAGCCAGGGAGGGCCACACAGTGAAACCCTATCTCAAAAAACAACCCTGAACAAATCAACAATAGTAAAAACATGGGACAAGACACTAGCAAGTAGACAGGATTTCCATTGCACGCCCTGCTTTTGGGGAGCGTGGCTGCAGAAATGGAATGGAAAGAAAAGGGTCTGAATAGAGATAAGGAAAAATCTAGGGTATTCTGGCTAGAATATTCTCTAGTTTAACAGATCAAGACAATAAAATGCCTGATTTAGGGGATAGGATCTTGTGCACACACAGGAGACTTGGGGCATTTTTTTGAACTCTTAATAAACATACTACATGCCAGGAACTCATGAATTTTAAGAGGAAAAACAAAACGTCCAGTCCTTGAACCCTTAGAGGATTTGGGTTCCACTGGGAAGACAACTGTAACTTGGGAACTAAGTGAGTTACATGCAACATTGTGTGGTGGTTCAAGAAGACTCCTAACAGGTCCTACAAGGCTCACACCGGAACTGCCTCCATCAGGAGCACACGGATTGGGAACCTGGGGGTCCCACTGACTAATAGCTCACCAGCCAAGTTCTGAAGAAAATTTAAATATACAAAACATTTGCAAAATCTAGATCCCTGAAGCATAGCAGTTTGTTCAAACTTGACAGGACAACCATAAAGATAGGACAAAAGCCAAAAATAAGGGCAGTATCCACGCATGGGGAGGGCAGAGGCCTTGAAGCCGCTTCACTGCGGCAGGGAGTCAGCAACCAACAGAACCGGAACACAGCGGGGTAATCTGGACACGCCCGCCCCGCTGCGCAGCTCGCTTGATTAGCTGCGAGGTCAGGGAGACTGGCGCCACCAGCACACCCCGCCCTCCTATACGGAAAGGAAGCCGCTAGCGGGCGCCGGAAGCCGGTGACATCAGAAGCCCCGCCCAAGACCAGCCTCCTGGCCGGAAATGAGGCGTTGGTCCCGCCTCCGCATCTGCTACCTCGCGAGACTTTGCGTGCTCCTCCCTCTTTCCTTTCTGCCGCCGCCATGGTAGGTGTTCTCTTCTTGGCCTCCGCTTCCTCGCGGCGGTTCGGAGCTCTCCCTCCCTCCCTCCCTCTCGGCTGCCCGGATCTTAGCGGGTTTTCGTGGCTACGCGTAGACTGCGGGGCGGGATGGCACGCGTGGGTCTGGGGCGAGGAGGCTGGGGCCGCGTGTTCCGGCCGGGGTTCGGATCGCTGAGACGCGCGCGGCCCGGGCGTCCGGGCGCCGTCCTAGGCGGTAACCTTAACCATGCTGAATGCTCCAGAAGGCAAGTCCCTTATTCGAGGCAGCAAGCCTTGCTCACCCCTGCCTTCCCTTTTTCCTGGCCTAACCTCAAATCTGTTTTCCCGAACAGCCATCCAGACTGAGGAAGACCCGGAAACTCCGGGGCCACGTGAGCCATGGCCACGGCCGCATTGGTAAGTGTGGACCTCCTCTCGTGGTAGGCCTTTGTTTGGGATAAACAGTCGAGCAGCGAGCCGCCAGTCAGATTGAACACCAGTTGGTTTTGTTTAAGATAATTTTATGTTAGCCGGGCGTTGGTGGCGCACGCCTTTAATCCCAGCACTCGGGAGGCAGAAGCAGGCGGATCTCTGAGTTCGAGGCCAGCCTGGTCTGCAGAGCGAGTTCCAGGACAGCCTCCAAAGCCACAGAAACCCTGTCTCGAAAAACCAAAAAAAAAATATGTTGGTAGTGTAGCAAAACGTAAGCACATACCCATGTTCTGTGGGACGCCGAGGTTTTTTTTTTAATCGCCGAGACTTAACAGTCATGCTAAAAAAAGGATTGTAGACTGAGACCAGAAAAGGCAGGGGCACGTGTGTATCTAGAGAAGGCTGATAGCGATGTAGCTTTGCGTGCCTGCAGGTAAACACCGCAAGCATCCAGGAGGACGCGGGAATGCTGGAGGCATGCATCATCACAGGATCAACTTCGACAAATAGTGAGTGTTTCTCTGTGGTCGGTTTTATCCGGCAGGGGCGGCTTTGGAGGTAGGGGCGAAGGCTGGTGTCTAGAGACCGGTTTAACTTTGGGTACTGCTAGCTTTAGTAAGCAAATAAAACAGAACCGTCCGAGGCTAGAGTCACGCTCAGGTATTGGTTGTTGCCTTAGTGTGCTAGAGTCCTCGAAGAATAACTACTGACCTTATTCACTGGCTGTGGACTTTCTGGCACAGTCAGTCACCAGGTTAGTGACATGCCTCAGATTCGAAGTTAGGTTGGCTTTTCTGTTTTACCCTGCTGTTAAGGGATGGCATTTAAGGAACCTCTTTAAAGGGGGGTGCTAGTTGAGTGGCCTAACTAGTTTGGGAGGGACTAAAGATTTAGTGTCTACAGTGTCAAAGTTTACAAGAGGGAACATATTTACACTGGATTAGGAAGAAGTAATGCAAAGATCTTGCTTGGAGGCTCTGAACATGGTTGCTTTCCGTTTCCAGCCATCCAGGTTACTTTGGTAAAGTTGGTATGAGGCATTACCACTTAAAGAGGAACCAGAGCTTCTGCCCGACTGTCAACCTGGATAAGTTGTGGACACTGGTCAGTGAGCAGACACGGGTCAATGCTGCCAAGAACAAGACTGGAGTTGCTCCCATCATTGATGTTGTGCGATCGGTGAGTGGATTGGATTATCCATTGTCCTTAGTAGAACTTGTAATGTTACCCAGTTAGGGAATCCACATTTTAGTAGAACTGTTGCAGGTAAATGAATTGGTCCCAAAGTGAACTCCACGTGTGGAGTGACAGTTCAGAGAACACAAGTGTTTGCTTTCACTTCTAACAAAAAAGAGCCTTTCATGAACAAGTTTCCCTGTAGTTGCACTGTCTTGGTTTTATCATTTGAGCTGTATTTTGATTCAGAGAGGTCTTAAGACAGGGCTTGGCCCTTTGGCCTTTCCAGGCTCACTCAAGGACCTATATTGCCTATAAAGAGAAAGTACCCCTCCATTACTGCATCAGCACAGAGGCTGAAACCATGGATGTGTAGCTATAATTGCATTCCCAGTCTATTTGGTGATCTGCATTTAGTGGAGATCACCAAATAGATCACTGGTTTAGGAGCGGGGACATGTATTTAGCCGAGACTAGAGTCACATCCTGACATGGTACTTGTCCTGGTGTGCTAGAGTTCTCGAAGATAATCTGCTGGTCTTGATTCACTGGTGGGGGCCTTCAGTGGCCCTATTAGTGCCTAGATCAGAAACAGGGCCTACCAGAGGCCATAATAATGCATGCTTTAATCCCAGCACTATGGAAATGTATTGGTAGCTCTATGAGGCTATATTGATCTGCATTTGAGCTCTAGGCCAGCCAAGGTTACATAGTGAGACTATTTCAAAGGGGGAAACAAGTCCTACCTGAATCTTGGAGGGGGGGTATTAAGTTTCTGCTATCGTGTATTAAGAATCTTTTTCTTTGTCTAGGGCTACTACAAAGTTCTGGGGAAGGGAAAGCTTCCTAAGCAGCCTGTCATCGTGAAAGCCAAATTTTTCAGCAGAAGAGCTGAAGAGAAGATAAAGGGTGTTGGAGGTGCCTGTGTCCTGGTAGCTTGAACCACCCAGGGAGATTAATTAAATGCTAACATTTTCCAAGTGGTCTGAGTGTGTAGGTTCTTCAGTTGCATTTCTATACATCTTGTCAGTATGGTAGAACCTGCCTAACAGGTCTTAGGAAGCTGTGAGGTATAGAATGGTAGACCTATGTAGCCCAACCTCAAAACTGTTTGTGTACACAAGTGGGTTGGATTCCAGCCATGTGTGTCCCTATATGTACTAAATGGGTCTTAGTGTGATTCAAAGAATTGATAAACACCATTACTTTCAGACAAAAATGTATCCTAAAGTTAGCATAACAGTATATTCTTTAATCTCAGCGCTCTGGGAGACAGGCAGTTGGGTCTCCGGGTTTGAGGCCAGCCTGCTCTGTAAATTTACAGGGTAGCTACAATAGAGAGCCTGTCTCAAAAACAAAACAAAAACCCACTGAGAACTAGAAATGAGGTTGAGTTTTCTGAAAAGCTGAAGGTCTGCTGTTTGGATTTGTGCCAACAGTTAGCTGCCATTTTTTTTGTAAACTTGCTACAATGACTAGGTAGCCCAGGAATGGGCTACTAGGAGGACTGGAGCAGGGCCAAGAAAAGAGGGAAGGAAAGATAGAGGATAGAATTCTGAACTAGAAAAAACAATGGCATGGGATTTGATTACTGAGTTAGGAGTGGTGCTAACTGGACAGGCTGGCATAGAGAGCTTTGGGAAAGAAAACATTTGGCTCCAGTCTTAACTTGATGGTATCTAGGGGGCATAACTAACTGCATGCATGATATTCCTTTAGCTTTAGTGACTGGTTCCAGCTGCTTTTACTGTGTATACAAGAGTTACATTTTTTTAAAAACTATTATGTATAGTGTTCTGTGCATGTGTGCCACACACCAGAAGAGGGCATCAGATGTCATGGTAGATGGCTGTGAGCCACCATGTGGTTGCTGGGAGTTGAACTCCTGGTCCTCTGGAAAAACAGGCAGTGTTCTTAACCCCTGAGCCATCTCTCCAGCCCTGAGTTTGTTATTACCGAAGGTGTCAAAGTCTGAAAATTCAGTCAACGAGACAGGGCTTCTCTTGTAACTTTGGAGCCTGTCCTGGAACTAGCACTTGTAGACCAGGCTGGCCTCGAAGTGCTGGGATTAAAGGCGTGCACTACCACCTGCCTGGTTTCAATTTAGTGTGGAAGGACTGTTCACAGAAGAATACCACCTGAGCTAAGCATGAAGTTGTATGGTCTTGGTTTTTATGGAATGGTGACCAGACATAAAGGTACTTACTGGCAAAAAAGACATTGACGAATGTGAAGAAACTTAGCACAAGGTTTTTTTTTTTTGGCTTGTTGGCATGCCAGCTGTGGGGAATTGGTACTGCTGTCCATACTATTGGATGCACACAGGTTACAATTATCAACCTGACTTGAAGTTGGCACAGGGTTCCGTTAGTTTGGGTTGCAGGAAGTCTATGCCCTTATGATAAATTGATTAATCCAAATCTAACAGCAGTTTATGGGAAATGTTTACAGCGTAGTTTGTAAAAGGCTATCAGAACTGGCCAAATTAAAGTACATGTATTTTTCTATTGGGTACTGGTCTAAGCTGTAGACCTGTTTAGTTAAAGCTATTCAGGCTGGAGATTTATTCTTCACAGGCAGGACCAAGAGTTCAGTCCTCATCTCTGAACCACTGTAGCATTTTCAAAAGATGAAAGCTTATGTTCAGAGTACCTTGGAGTTCAAAAATAATCTCTAGAGCGTTAAACAAGCAAAAGAATTTTCCTCTTTGAGTTTTAGGGAGTAAAGGAAATTGTATGCTTGGTACTCAGCTGCTTCAGTAACCAAGTGCATATTATACTGTGTATTAAGATGTAGGGGGCAACTTAAAGGGGGAAAAAGGCTGTCAGAATCTTATCAATGATGAACATAGTTCTCTTAGTTCACAGAATTTTGAGCATAAGTTTTGGAGCATAAGCCACTATGACTCTAAAAGTGTAATAGTGCATTTCGCCTCTAGTGGTATTTGTTCTGACACTCCCAAGACTGCCAATAAAATTTGCTTTGAATCAGGGCAGAGCTAGCCACTAGCTGACCAGAATTAACCATAGGTTTTTGAGAATGGAGGACAGAAAGTAGGGCAAGGCTTAAAGAGGATCTGCCTTTTTGGATGGAGGAGTGACTGAGGGATGGGTGGGTGTTTCATTAGTCACTTGGCCACCACTTACCATTCAGGGTCATACCCAGTTAGCTGACTCCCTGGTCAGGATAATTACATAAAGGCATCATTCATCTTTAAAACATTCCTTTTACAAGTCCGTTTGAGAAAGGCCCCACAGTTTACCAGAGTATGGTCATATAAGTTAATAGTGTATTTTAGAAGCTGACAGGCAACAAAGTGTCTTAACCCAAGTCACACTTGATCTTGTTTGGTCTTGAGTGTATGTTGGTATGCCTGGCTAGCCTAGAGATGTACAAAAGATGATGTACAGTGGTGTGTAGTGGGTTATGATAAAGGGAATGTTACAGTTCACATCCTGCCAAACCTAGTGTAACAACATGTAACATCTCTATTCTCCAAAGGCCTTGATGGGTAGGAAACCTAAGTAAAGCTACTCTGTTCCCTAACCTGTGCTTTGCTGCCTAGTCCCTTAAATGTAGCTGAACTTTCTGGATGCATACAGTTTGAGTCCAAGCCCAGTGTTAGCAATACTTTGGCTTCAGACTGCTGATGTCATGCTACCCAATAATGTCACCTAAGGGCAAAGCATTCTTTCCACCACTGGAAACACCAAAGTGAGCAGAGAAGGAAGCTGAAGGAGAGCCTAGGCGTCTCTACTTTGAGAACTCAAGTTCAGGGATGGCTAGCAACTCAAATGAAATGAACCCCTTTACCAGTTGCCAAACTCCCTGTATGATGGTGTTTCATTCATATTTAACCTGTTTGGGATAGAACTATAGATAATGAAACCAAAGAACACATGGGACTTGGCACAAATGAATGTACAGTTTATTGAGAACATCTGTGGATGGTGGAAGGAGGAATGCCCTGTACCGCATCATGGCCACCACTGACTAACTGGGAGCTGCACTTCCCGTGACTCACTGGCCATATCAGAGGGTGGAAGGAACAAGAGGACCAGGCCCAAGTACCTGGCTCTACATTGCAAGTAGGGCAAGAGTGGTCCTTGCCTTTCAGAAACAGAGGCTTGGAAGATAGGGAACTACCAAGAAGAAGAAAGCAGAAACTCTAGGATTAAAAAAGTCCTCTTGTACATAGTTAAGACAGCACCTGCTCTCCAGGGCCTGAGACTGGCAGCAGGGGCCTCATGGAGGCAGGCCAGAAGCCTTCAGGAAATATCAGTGGTTTGGCTGAGACAGTCAGCTGCACATAATGGCCAGTCACCAGCACCCAGCAAGACTCCATCCATGCTCAGGCAAGGCAGGAAAGCACCCGGCCCTCTAGAAATATACAAATATTTACCAGATTCTCTTTACTTGTTACAGTTAAGAAAGCTTACAGCAGATTATTTACAAACAGCATCCTGTGATATGGTGAAGGCAGAGGTGGACCAGCTTGGAGGTGGGGTCTGTAGGGGCAGAGTGGCCACAGCAGCACACAGGATCCCAGGACAGGCCCTCTCCCCAGGCTCTGCAAAGCACTAAACTGGGAAAGACATTTAATTCTTCTTGTGGAGAAACTTCATCTTGTTGCCTGTGGGCCAGAGAAGGCAAAGATGAAGCTGTTTCATGATACCCCTTCCAACCTCCATGCCTTCCTGCTTCCTTTCCTTCCAAAAAGACTAATTAGACAGACTGGAGTGACAGCTCTGGTAATGTAGGGAAAACACTACTTAGGACACTGAGATCAGCACCTGTGTGACTTTGGGTAAAACCTGCATCTCTGGCTTTGGTTTCTTTTTTTTAAACGTGTTATGGTTCTGAGATTACACTGGCTGAGCTCCCCGAAGGACTGGGAAAGCTTTGCAGTACTGGCACTCGGGCATTGAAACTTCTGGACATTACAAGAACAAAGATGACTATCACTCTTGGCTCACATGTGAATAAAAAGGAATGTACTTAAAAAGAACCAACTCATGGGTGAATCTGTGGCTCCTTTTTGTGAATCTTGGGCTAACTGCTCTTAAAGCAGTAGGTAGGAACTCCTTCTCCACAGGATCTCCTCTTGCTCTGTCTATAGCCTCTGTATCATATTTCTTGGCATAGATTCACAGTATTTTAGAGGACAGCTTCCCCTGGCTATCTCCATCAGTAACAAGTAACTTACCCAAGCCACGGAGAAACTTGTTCATCCCACTCTGCTCAGTGTCAGGGAGCTCTTCTAGATACTGCTCCACTCGCTGCTCAAAGAGGCCTGAGAAAGATGAGCAGCAGGTACGAGGGAAAAAACAATGGAGACATGAACATATGATAAACCGGGTGCAAAAGGGAAAAGGCAAACATCTAGTCTAATGGTGGGAGCATCATTTCAGAACTCTGACTGGTTCATTACAGTGACTACTAGTGACACATCTCACAAGTGTTCACTGCTGAGAGCAAGAAATCTTCCACAGCCTGACTCCCACTGCTGCCCACACCTGATACACACTGCAGTGAGGCTGCTCTGTGCTGCAGAATAGCCCCTGTGTGGAGACCTCTACTTTCTTTTTTAAAGATTTATCTATTTATTATGTATGCAGTGTTCTGCCTGCAAGTATGCCTGCAGAACAGAAGAGGGCACCAGATCTTGACAGATGGTTGTGGTTGCTGAGAACTCAGGACCTCTGGAAAAGCAGACAGGCTTCTTAACCACTGAACCATCTCTCCAGCTACCTTCTATAAGATTGCTCCACCGTGCTATTCCAAAAAGCTTTGTTAAAACTAAATGGTTAACAGTAGTGGGGAAAAGAAACAGGGTACTTGTACAGCTCTTGATAAGGTAAAGACCCAGTGAGCTGGTATAATATTAAGAAGCAGGATAACCAGCAGCCCAAGGCAGATGGCCCAGTCCTTTCCAAGGGACTTCCCAACTCCTGGGTCCTCAGAAGCCCTTAGACTACTC